GAGGGCTGGGGGCTGGGGGGGGGTGCAGTTGTTTCACTGTCACCATTAGGTTCAAGTGGCTTTTACTGTAATTATGGCTCCTTTCAGGATTTGGCCCTGTGAGCCCGGAGCGTATCCAGTGTCTCTGCACCTCATTACGGCCTGACAGGCCGCTCATCATCGCTCTCATCCTTCCCTGGTTGTTCTGGTTTTGACAGCAGGGCAGTTCATTTCACCTCATACGCTGCAGCAGAATAAGTTACGGCCTTATTGCATTGAACGTGAAGCGTATGATTCAGCACCCCAACGTCCCCCTCCTCCTCCTGAGACGGTATGAGGACACGTCCAGCACACTCTCACCGGCTCCAGAACTAATGAAATCTCAGTGAATGTATGAATTCCCCCCTCTGTGTACGTTTCAGATTATCTCCTCTGGTCCCTGAGCAGCGTAAACCACAGGATATTAATTGTTAAACCACAGGAAAACACACACACACACACAACTGTGATCTCAATAAGTTTAGCAATTCACTCACTGTGTAAGGATTATATAAAGGCAGCAGTTCAGGGTTAAGACCGTTATATATATTATACGTATAAAAATCAAAACTTATGTTTGATTTTTTAGACTTTTTTCAATAGTAAAGCTACAAAAAAAGAATTAAAAAAAATTATCCTGTATCAGCATCACTATGGCTTCATTGATTCGCATCTTTTATACAATCAAATATTATTAAATGCAAAAATAAACGTGCTCCTTCAACTTTAAACGTCAAGTAATGTAAAATCCTCAAACCTTGGTTCAGTAGATCCTGACCATTTCAGATGGTCAGGGAAACCATCAGTCAAACCGTTTCATCTCATCCAACGCAGCGGTTCCTGGAGTGGGGAGCGGGACCAGAACGAGTCATATTAATTTCAATTTCAGTATTTTCTTCATTCGTCTCAAACACTGATTTGTATTTTTGTATTAAGTCTTGGAAATAAAGCTGGGGTCATTTCTGCACCTAATTTACTGTTTTTAAGTAAAGATGTCCGATATCTGATATGCCAATATCGTAACACTTCATTTCCGATTCCGATATCAACCGATACCGATACATGCAGCTGTTTGGGTTAAAGACCATATTTGGTTGTGTGCAGTGGCGTGATGACAATAATTCACCACCACACTTTCACTTTCACTTCAAACTATTTTAGGCGATTACATCGCATATTTAATGCTGCCCCCTGTGGCAGCCTCCGAGTTGCAACCATACATCCCTAATGGCGCCTCCTGTGGCAGGCTGTGTGGGCTGCAAAGACTTGCACTAAAAGCTTCCCCATTGTGGGATAAATAAGGAACTCAATTATTATTAAATTCTTGTCAAACTGTGACCTCGTCAGAACATACACTACAGAAAACTCCTGCCTCCTGCCTCTAACCCCCCCCCCCACCTATATTTATTTAGCATTGGGTAAATGTCCTTGTTCGGTGACATAAACAGATGTGACTGTCAGTTTCCGACTCATAATCTCAAGCCGATTTACAACAAATGTCAACAAAATGACGAGTCACAGGAAAGAGTTCCACTGTAAGTCTCCTGGGTGCAGTAAATCTGCAGGTCTCCTGCGGGGGGTGCTAATGGAGTCCATGTAACTCGATGATCGTATCCGTCCAAGCCAGAGTGAATGGTTGAAACAGAAGTGTGTGCAGAGTTCTCGTTCGTCATTTCCGCTCATCCTCCTGACAAGACAGAGCTTGAAGAGCTGGGACAGATCTGTTCTCCAGAGTACCGCAGGAGAACCGTGACCAGAGAACAGTGGAGGCCTGTCGTCTGTTCCTGCCTCAGATCGACGCCCGAGCCAACACAGACATTTTTCATCTGTCGCAGTTCGCTTATTAAAAACATCCATGATGGATCACTTCATTTACTTTAGGAGCTTAATCCCAGGATTCTGCTACACGACTGACATCAACCGGATACTGCTGTTTGATTGGCTGCGTGGGTCAGAACTGAACCGTCACCTTGAAACAGAGCTGAGGTTTCAGAGTTCATGTTCATCAGTTTGTACGACAGAAAGATGCAGTTGAAGTGAACACCACTTAGAATCTCTGAATCTCTCAGAAGATTTAGAGGAGCGATTATCAACTGGCGGCCTGCAGGCTGAATATGGCCCATGGAACCATTTAATTCGGCCTGGAATTCCAAAATAAAATAATAATAAATAAATAAATAATTAATAATAATGCTTACATTTTTTTTACTTGAGTGTCCAGTCCCCATGTTGTCTGTCCAGAAAGATTCATGGCATTCATGGAGTATAGATTTTTTTTTTCACAAAATGTGTGGGTTTTTTTTCAGTCCAGTTTTATCTTTTTTTTAAATATATTCAGTTTTACTGCATATTCTCCTGTAAAAAAAACATTTTTTTATTCCCTATTTGTGAATTATTACATTAGCTTAGCACAAGCAAATGAATTAGCAAACATGAGCTAGCTTGCTACACACAAGGTTCAGCAAGGCAGCCTGGCGTTTATCACCCCATCCAATTTTCTGAGGCCCCCTAGCGGCCGCCGCTTTAACAGACCACTAGTCTGAAGTGTCTTTTTTTCCCATCATGTTATGTATTATTATTGGTTCAGAGTAAAAGTCCTGGGGCCGGAGCCTATTGATTAGTTAACACAGTTCATTGATTGATAAAAACAGCCCCAGGTCGTGGGCCGTTCTCCAGTTTTTGGTTTTTCTGATGATACATTTCCCAGACAACTCCCTGTGGGATCCAACGACCACAGGAACAGCTGATACTTGTGAGTAGGTCTTTAGAGTCTGCAGGCTTCGATGGAACACGATGATAAGGGCAGCAAGAGCCATAAAGATGGTGGGGACGGACAGAGTCCACGTCTGACGACTGATCCTGGTTCAGCCAGCGGCGTCCAGTCAGGGGCTCCTGACACAGAGTCACTTCCTGTCCCTGGAGGAGCACGTCTGATATGAACTTCTGACTATATAAGGAAGAGATGGACTTTGTCACCACACCACAGACTGAACTCCACTCGGAAACAAAAGTTAGTCTCATGGTAATGAGGGAGTAAAAAATAGGTTCTCGTGCCGAATACAGACCGTCACTGAGTCTAATCCTGTTCCCAAGATGTAAAATTAGAACACTGTAAATGACCTCTTTCTTGGTATTTGGCATTATATTTACCCACAAATATTTACAGTCTACATTTAGCCCATATTCAGAGAGAGACATTCTCTACTGTCCACTAGATCTAGGCCACAGACTGGACCAATAGTTGTTGGTTCAAATACGGACTTTAAAAGAAGTAAAGTCTCATTTATATGATGGTTAAAGCAACAAATATTTATCAGATTAGGCACCACGTATGTTTAGTGGTATATAGGACAACGTCTCCAGAAGATGACGTCAGCTTCACAGACCAGGTCTAATATAGAACAGAAGAGTAAGAATTACACCTGTCTGTGTGCAGGAGCCTTGAACGCAGCTCCTCTCCTTCAGTGTCACAGTCTGCAGCCATTTGTGTAGTTATGAGTGATTAATGAGGATTATATAAGTGCTGTGGTCTGTGTGGTCAGCTGAGGAGGGGGCAGAAAAGAGGAAGTTAAGGTACGCGGATGACATTAATTATACATTGCTGTGAGCTCACATGCTTTCAAGAAAATTAAATGTGTTCTCAATTAATTCACGTCAAGATAAATGC